CCATACAATTGTAAAAATTTGGTAGCTTTTTACTGCTTCATTGCCTGTATTTTGGGTATTTATTTTAAGAGTGTTATTACAGAGTGCTTTACGTAGGTAGATCCCACAATAGATTTTTTTTTTCAAACCATGTATTCTTCGAATTGGTACACTATCTCAATAATAGGGCAGATATAATTCCGAGGTACATAAGTGTTTTTTTTTAATTTTGGATTTTAGTGGAAAAAATTGAAGATTTCGGGTGAAATGACTTAAAATAAATTATATTTACATAACTAATCACACAACAATGCCAATACGAATCTGTAAGCTTCCATGACTAGTGTCAAAAACAAATTAATCGTCTTCCGAGTTTGGAAGTGATCTTTTTATACGACCCGTATGTGAGTCTATCTTAACGTGTTACTGCCTTTGTAAGTCGCTCCTTCAAGAGCAGGGGAGGCCTATATGAGTACGGTAACTCGAGTGGGTACTCAACATAACGGAGATGAAACATGAGGATTCACATCTGAATACGTTAGTTCTGAGTTATTGTATGTGAATTGTTCCCTCGGCTGTTGATGACGATTTCCTTATAATCTGCAATGAAATGGAACTGTAAATAAATTAAGCAGGTAGTGTAATGAAATGCAAAACCTTTATAAACTAGGTTTTAATATACAAGAAATTAGCATTGTTTTGTTTGAATGAATAACATGACAATTACATATGACATTAACTAAAACTAAGATGACAAATGACAAACACAGTTCACAGACCACAGGACATTCACCCCAACTTTATTTTTGAACAAAGTCTTTAAGGTAAGCAGGAGTGTTTCTTTCCCTGGTACCTCTTCTAATAAGACTGTGTTTATTTTCTTCCTCTAAAACACTTTCAATATGACCTTGATCTTCCAGAATGTTAACAGGAGAAATATTTGGATTTTCCTCACATATACTCAATCTAGGGCTTGGTGGATCTTTGATAAACTGTTCATTAGAAACCGCAGATTCCGATCCACTAACACAGTCCAGAGATGCATCTCCTCGTGGTGCAAGTTGTCTTAAGGCTACTGTTGTTTCTTTACCATCTTCACGTCTAACAACAGCATAGTTTGGATTTGCTTCAATTAGCTGTACTTCTTCAACGAGGGGTTCATATTTGGACTGCCTCACATTTTTTTTCATAAATACTTTTCCGGGGGTTATCAACCATGAAGGAAGTGCAGCTCCATTTATAGCTTTTCTGGAATGATGAAACATTCGCTCATGAGGGGTACTGTTTGTAGATGTACACAAAAGAGAACGAATTGAATGAAGAGCTATCTCAACTACTTCTTCCCACTGTTCAGTTTTTAAATGTTTAGATTTTAATGCAAGAGAAATAGTTTTCCATATAATTCCATTATATCTTTCTGTCTGGCCATTTCCTTCAGGATTGTAAGATGTTGTTCGGCTTGTTGGTATTCCTTGTGAATGGAGAAATGTTTTGACTTCTTGAGACATAAATGCCCCCCCTTGGTCTGAATGGATATAACTAGGCATTCCAAATAAAGAGAATAAGTTTGTAAGACACTTCACAACAGTTTTCGCTGAAACATCTTGACATGGATATACAAAGGGGAATCGAGAATATTCATCAACAATTGTTAGGATATATTTGTTATGAGATCTAGATGGAAGCGGTCCTTTAAAATCCAGAGACAATCTTTCAAAAGGCGAAGTAGCTTTAATTAATCTCCCTTGAGTTTTCAAAAACTTTGGTTTTATTTCTGCACAGATAGGACAGCGATTGGTCATTTCACGGACTTCATCAATAGTATATGGTAAGTTGCGTGTCTTTATCCAATGGACCATTCTGGTGATTCCTGGATGACACAAGGATTGATGTAGTTCAAATAGACTTGGTCGAGGATTTATTGAACAGCTCACTCGTGAGAAAGTATCTGGCACTACATTCTCAACTCCTGGTCGGTACTGAATATCGAAACTGTAGCATGATAATTCAAGGCGCCATCTGATAATCTTCTCATTTTTTATCTTACTAGTGTGGCGCATATTGAACATAAAAGAGACAGACTTTTGATCAGTTATAAGTCGAAAATGTTTACCTATCAAGAAATGTCTCCATTTTCTAAGAGCTTCCACTATTGCATAAGCCTCTTTTTCCACTGATGAATGATTTCTTTCACTTTTTGATAAGGTTCTTGAAAAGAAAGCAACAGGTCTTCCTCCTTGGCTAAGAGAAGCAGCAATACAAAAATCTGAAGCATCAGATTCAACGATAAAAGGAATCTTGTCATCAATTGTAGTAACAGCTGAAGAAATAATTTCAGATTTAAGAATTTGGAAAGCTTCAGCTGCTTGTTCTGTTAAAGGAAAAGTATTGCATGTGACTAGTTTTTGTATCTTTTCTGAAAATTGTGGGATAAATTTGGAATAATGTGCAAACATTCCGACAGCTCTCTTTAGTGATTGTGAATCGTTTGGTAAGGGTAACTTCTTTAATGGTTCAAGTCTTTCAGGATCAGGTTTTAAGGTCTGATTTTCTATTTGATAACCCAAAAGTTTGATTGAATTTAGTGTATAAGAACTTTTATTTTGATTTATTGTTAGATTGTATTTCTTCGCTACTTCCATAAATTTATTAAGATTTTCATTATGTTGTTGTTGATTTAATCCACAAACCGTAATGTCATCAAGATATGCATACACACCTTTTAAATGTTCGGATTTAATAATACCATCGATAACCCTTTGAAAACAAGCCACTCCGTTGGTTACCCCAAAAGGAATCCGGCAAAATTGGTATAGTTGGCCGTTGGCTTCAAAAGCAGTGTATATTTTCTCTTCATTTTTAATTGGAATTTGATGGTATGCATTTTTAAGATCAATAGTACTGAAGACAGAATATCTTGCTACTTTTCTAACAATATCTTCAACATCTGGGAGAGGATAGGCATCTAAGTAAGTAAATTTATTAATTGTTTGTGAATAATCTACCACCATTCGCTTTTTGTGTGTTTCACTTTTTGTAATAAGTACTTGTGCACGCCAAGGAGAGTTGCTTTCTTCTATGATTCCATTCGATAGCAGATACTGTATCTCGTCAGATATGAATTTTCTATCTTCAGTTGAAAATTTTCTTGATTTAGTTGCCCTCGGTTTGCAATCATTTGATAGATTGGAGAATAATTTGGGTGGCTCTATATTTAAGTATGCCAAACTACAAATGTTATCTATATGATCAATAACTAAAGGCATTTTTGAGCCAGCAAAAGTGATTTCTAGAGAAGAATGTTGTTTAAGCAAGTCATGACCTATAACTACATCAGCACATAAATCTTGAATTATTGATAATTTGACATTTTTATATGAATGTTCGTTTATTTCTAAATTAACAAAGCAGTGTCCTGAGATAGTCGTTCTGAGTGCTGTTGAAGCCATTATTATGCTTGCATGACTTCTAAATGTTTTCACGTTTATAGACAATGCATAATTCTTACTGATATATGACTCAGAACTACCTGTGTCTATTAAACTTTCAGCTGTATTTCCATTCACCTTTATCTCAGTAACACTTTTAGATAAGCATTGAGGGGCAGCAGCAAGATTTCTAACATTCGAACTAGATGTAGTAGTAGCTAAAACAGCAGCTGATACTGAATTGGGCATCTGAAGCCTACATACCTTGGAAAAATGTCCAACTTTCGAGCATTTCTTACAAACTTTGTCTCTAGCAGGGCATAGGCTACGAGGATGCCTTTCAGTTGATCCACAAAAGTAACATTTCCAACTTTTCACAGCAGCAGAAGTATAATTAGTGTGCTCTCTGGTTTCAGAAGAAATTGCATTAATAATTTGTACAGGAGTTGTATAAGCCTCAGAGTGTTTTGAAGCTGACTCCAGAGACTGGGCTTTTACTATGGCATCTTGCAGAGTAATAGTGTTGTTTTCTAGTAAACGTTGTCTTATGTCATTAGAAAGAATGCCATTAATAAAAGAGTCTCTTATATAATCTTCTCTATTTTGGTCTGCAGAAACGGCTAGAAAATTACAGTCTTTGGAAAGCACTTTAAGATGTTGAACGTATTGACCTATATTTTCACCAGTTTGTTGTTTTTTTGTCATTAGGATATGTCTGGCAAAAATTTCATTTTTGGGTTTAACAAAAGCTGCTTCAAGAATACTTTTGGCTTCAGAATACTTTCTACAATCAGAGATGAGTTCATAGATATTGTTGCTCACGTAATTTACCAGTAGTTTGAATTTCTCCTCCTCTGAAACATCAATCACAGAGGAAATAAAGTTTTCAAAGGTAGCTTTCCAATGCATCCATTCTTGAGACGATCTAGGAGAGTTAGGATCAGCATCGAATCTGTCTGGTCGTAGTAGCTTATCCATATTTGATATTTCTTGTATATTAAATTGTAATGAAATGCAAAACCTTTATAAACTAGGTTTTAATATACAAGAAATTAGCATTGTTTTGTTTGAATGAATAACATGACAATTACATATGACATTAACTAAAACTAAGATGACAAATGACAAACACAGTTCACAGACCACAGGACAGGTAGATCCGCCACATTTGTGTGGAAGTTCAAATTTTCATATTTTAAATCCGATTATTTTTAGAAATATGTCTGCTGATACCTCGTCGAGGTGAAACACCATCATATACATAATATATAGAACAAGTAACCATTTGTCATAGATATACTAATACTATAGTTTAATCGATGATTATACCATAGTATAAAAAAGAACTGTGGTTAAACTGTGATTATACTATTAAATAAACTTCATTTCTAGTTGTATGCAACCAGTACTTCTTTGTAAATTGACTTGCAACTTGCAATAAGGAATTAAACATATCTTTGAGAGCCATCTATACGATAATCTCTGAACTAACTTTCTCTATCCTCTTCTGTCATCTACCGGCAAAAATCACAAATGAATCAAAAATTTGACTCAATCGGTAAATAAAATTCACCAAAACACATAACTGTCGAACTCCGCCTACTTTTCATATTCAGCCGGTCAGTGACCAATCTACGTGTAATGCAGTTACAGCGTTTGGGCACGCTCTTTTGTGGTGTGCAATAGTTTAGAGAATTCATTTTTATTTTTATCACATTTACAATTACCAGGTAAGCCTAAAAAATGTCACAAATATCTAGAATTGACTGTAGTAACAGCATTTTCATTGTTATAAAAATCGGCTCCACCACAGGCGTTGTCTACATACCTAGATTGACATATGCAAGATAGGTTTTGTTTTTAGTTTTGTGTTTTGACATTGTTTCATAAATATTTATAGTGTTTTAAATTGTTAACTCTGTATTTGTTCATTTAAAATCTTCAGACGATTTTACAAGCTTTTAATGGTCTTCAATTTATTTTAGGATAAGACAGTAAACACAATGTTTAAGTTTATAAAGGCTAAAGGGCCCCATCAAAGTGCTGAGCGGCAAAAATTGCAGAAAGAACTCTTTTTCTATAGAAGGGTAAGTTTTTACTTTACAAATACCTTTTAAACAATTTGATAATCTTTAGACACACAGTGCTTTGAAATATTAGTTCAATACCTGATCAACTTTATCTATTCTTATCAATATAAATATCAGCAGGATAACAGGTGTTTGATAATACCTGGTAATTTTCATGGTAAGGTAAATATTGGGCTTATTCTATTATTCAAGATAAAAATTTCAAAATGTTTGGCAGAGTGGCATGATCTAGTTGTAAGGTTTCATAAAAAATGTTTATTCTGTTTTGTAATTGGGTTATACCTTAGATATCTTGAAAATAAACAGTATTAATCAAAATTTGTTGAGAAATAAGTAACCTTGGTACCTGAGGAAATCAAATATTATCAGGTTATGTAGGCTGTAAATTGTTATTAAATGACTAGACTTAAACTTTTATATCTAGTGATCTTTAGCTCAATTATTTTTCAGAGATTTTAATATGTCCTTTATTTGAAAAATAAAATATTTTATATGCACTTGAAAAAATTAAATGCATTACTTATACTGAATGACATGGTACCGAAATATAAAGTGTTTTTCAATACATTAAGTATGGGCATTATTAATTTTAATGTCACAAAAAGTCCACTTTTTTCAGACATACCTTTAGTGCCATCTCTATAATTGATGGTGCATTTTGTCCAATTGATATTATATCACAAGTGTTTTCTAAAAGTAGGTTTTACATACACTCAGTAGGCACAGAAAGTGTTTTGCGAACATGTCTTCTGTGATGCTTTTACCTGATTCAAAGCATATAAATACAATAAACTGCATAATTTACATTCATCAAACTACAAAGCAAGCTTTGTCATCTCAGTTTTTAAATAGATTTTGAAACTGTTTCCTTTTGTCATGGTTAAATTAATTATTGCATTTGTATGGGATAAAACACACAATTGATTATGTGTATGTACATTTTACATTATTTATTTTGACTTGTCCATTTCGAAACTGGTAATTGCTTTCAAAAATTATTATGTAGAGCATTGGAGCTTTATAGCAGCCAATTTGTTCACAAATGTCATTGCCCATATTTATGATTTTAATTTTGATAGTTTTATCAGACAGTGATATATTTTTTTTCTTGTCTGTCTACTAATTCACATAATTTAGACTAGAGGTTCCCAAACCTTTTTCTCGCAGCCCTCTTGTCATGTTCTTTAATTTTAGACAGACCCCCTGCTATTCATGTTGAAAGATTTAAATTTAAATAAAAATATAGTAACTGTTACATGAGAAAAACTAAGCAAAAAACAAATCCATTTATTGGGAAGTATGAACTTGATGGTTTAATGATAAATTGTCAATAATAATTTAGTTAGGTTAAATCTTAAATCTCCTTGGTTAATGATGTGATTTTCTTACTTTTTTATTATGGTATCTATAACTGCACTTCTTTCTACTAGGCATGAAGATCCAAAAGCAATTAAAAACTTTCTCGTGGCATTCAATAATAAGTTATTCCATAATAGTAATAGGTACATATATCTTTTTGAAGCCAGATTTGTTAATAACTGTTTTTAAACTGTACCTTTAAGTTCTTTGTTAATGCTTATTCCAATCAATTCTTCTTGTAATGTAACATCCATTTCTTCAAATCACCAAATACATTGATAATCTATATCCAGTATGGTATTAACAGCCTCAAAATATCCTCAAATCTAGTTTCAAATGCTGAATAGATGGCATTCAACTGTTGGACATAGATTGAAACATTGTCTTTGTTAAAACTTTCGAACAACCTCATATACTACACTTTTAGTTAAGCACAACCCGACGTTCATTTTACACCCCTCGAGAGGGATGCTGGTAGTGGCAAGGATAAGACAGTCATCACTAGAGTCGCAACAGAACATCATTACGCTAAGGACGCTATTTTTAAATTTATTGTTTACAACATATTTTACATGTGCCTTTTTACTTCAATACAGTTTAATTTTAAGTGATTTGTTTTGTATTATTACGTGAAATTCTAATAAGATTTAACTTACATCCATACAGTCTTCCTGGCAGATTATCTTGAATAAATTGAAGAACTGGATAAATTCATACTGTCCAATCTCTTTTTGTCTCAATTTTTCTCTTTAATAAAGTTTCTTTAAAATGTTTATCTTTACCATCGAGAAACTCTAAAACAGTTTCAAATAGTGTAAAAAATCTTATCAGGCATATCCCTTTCGACAGCCAGCTTATATTAGTGTGAAAAAGTAATGGTAGAAGTGTGGAAGTTCTTGTCGTTTTCTTCACACAACTGCACAAATAATCATGTATTCAACACATTGTTTCGGATTTGGTTTACTGCATCAATAACAAATTGGAAAGATTCATGCAATCTTACATATAAATTTTTAGCAACTAAATGTTGCCTCTGGATGACACAGTGTATTGCTAATACTCCGGGTACATTTTGTTTTAAAAAACTGATAAAACCACAATAACACCCAACCATAGCAGTTGCTCCATCTGTAGCTACCCATATAATATTTGTTAGATGAAAGATTTAATTTTTCAAAGAAGTAAGCCTTCAAAACATAAAATATTGATTCGCCTTCAATATAGGTTGTCAAAGTCCTCGCAAATAGCAATCCTTCGTGGATATTTTGATCCATAATAAAACAATCATATGCAAATAATAATGCTTCATTAACAGGTAAAATTGAGTCATATAGATAAATGGGTCATTTGCAAATAATTACACAAGAATATTTTAACATCATAACTCATTTCATTAATACATCTTTAAATTGTGTTGTTGCTTAATAAAATTGTTTTAATGATATCATATGCAGGTTTGTGTTAGAAGAGTTTTTAAAACTTTATGGAAAATATCAGTGGAATAACAGTGGCATAAAGTGGAAATAACAGATAGTATATTTAAGAGAATCCAGTTAAAAGATATATTACTAACAGTACCTTGTCGATTTATAAGTTGCCATGAAAGAAATGAAAAATTCACTAAAAAAAATTATTCTTTTTATACAACATTATACATAATACTTTTCGAGTTTATGCATGTAAGGGCAAATTATATTGCTACCCAAATGAATGTTCTTATTACTTCAGCCATGAATTATTAACTGTGATTATAATAGCTATTCTCATCCTTTTACCTTCAGAATGATTAGAAACCAGTAATGCTTAGTAAGCATTATCAGCTTAGCAGTAAGATTTTTTTTCTTCCTAGTAATTTGATATACATTTTGAATGGATCGGTTAACCGCCTCTGCTTAGTTCAGATTTACTTATAATGCATATTTTAAATATTTCATAGATAGCATTATTTCATAGTGACAAAAAGATGTTGAAAATTTGTTCAAACATGTGGACAAGTGTTCAGTTGATCATAAAACTTTTTAGCAATACCGTCAAAACTCTTAGATTCTTACCGTGTAATCGAAGTTTTATACACACTACTCAACAATTGAAGTGGATAATTTTAAAATTCCTAAAATTAACAAATAAAACTATTTTTCAAATAATTGCCTGTACTATACTCTATATGTTATCTTTATTGCCAATATTTTTTGCATGTGGTTTTTTTCTCCCTATTCGTTTTGGCCATTATCTCGTACAAAGAGAGAAATGTTGTTCCAAACATGAATATATCATTAGTATAAAAGTGCTTGTATTGGCTTTTATCAGTTGTCAATAAGTCAAGAAATCTATTTATCACAAAAACATTATGCCGCAAAGACGTTTAGAACTAGACATGCAGCTCGAGCAATTAGTGTGTTGGATCCAACAAGGCATAACTCGACAAAAGGTTGCTATGAGGCTAAATGTGTCGCAAAGTGTGATAAGTCGTGCATGGAATCGGTATGTAGCAACTGGATCTGCAACATACAGGCATGGAGGAGGAAGAGAACGAGTCGGCAAGACCGTTTTGTAGTTCTGACGGCAAGAAGAAACCCAACGCCCGGCTTCCAGAATTAACAGTATCTTCAGGTATGCTACTGGACGAGCGATTTCCAGTCAAACTGTCAGAAGACGGTTACATGCATCCAATTTAAGGGCTAGACGGCGGGCTACCCATCCACGACTAACTAGGGAGCAGCGTGCGTGAAGATATCGCTGGGCGATGGAACACTATCAGTGGAATTTCGAAAATTGGAGGAATTGTCTCTTTACTGACGAGTCCAGATTTCGTTTGTATATGAATGATGGCCGAATATTGGTGTAGAGGGAAAGGGGACAGCATTACAATGAAAATCTGAGAGCCCCAACCACTCTTTTTGGAGGTGGATCCGTTTGCGTGTGGGGAGGCATATGTTTTGACGGTCGCAATGACTTAGTCGTCTTAATTAATGAGACAATGACTGCTACACGATATCGAGACAGAGTCATAGTACCAATAGTTGTTCCATTTTTTGGTGCAATAGGGGAACAATTTGTTCTGATTGATGGTAATGCTCGCCCTCACCGTGCGAGAATTTTCAATGAGTGTATAGAAGCTCATGACATTACAAGAATGGAGTACATGTTCACCTGATATGAATTGCATTGAACATGTTTGGGCCGAAATGTCTAGGCAACAAAACAGGCTCCTTCAATCGCCTCAACCCTTAGATCAGTTCGTCAATACATTACGCGCGATTTGGAAACGTATACCGCAGCAGTTCATCAATAATTTAATAAGAGGTCTTCCAAATAGAGTTAGGGCACTAAGGCGACCCAGAGGTGGTCCCCCACACTATTAATTTTTCTTTTCGGGATATTAGACATTGAGCAGGAATAGAAATTTTAGGTTGTTAATTTTACAATTTTTGTTTATTTTCTATTTTTTTTTCTTGAAGAATTTCTTTCTTTCAGTTCATCTGTATGAAAATACGAAGTAAAAAATAAATCCTTATGTATATCACTCCATTTTTCTATTTGACCTTATGAACAAAAAATAAAATACACATTTTCATAATATCCACTCAATTGTTGAGAAGTGTATATTCAAATATTTATGTTGAAATATTAAAAATTCA